TTTTGTGGTGAAATAGTATAAACAAACAGACAGTCAAAATGCAGTCTTCAAGTCTAGAGTTTCAGTGAGAGTGCAAATGACTGCCCATTTGGAAAACTCATCAGACACAAAAATAAGTATTAGTATACTAGGGACCTATTCCAGCAAGCAAAATGACCTTTCCCACCAGTGACTCAAATTCCAACTATTAGTCAGCACATTAGTGGAAACTATTGAGAATCCAAACAGAATCAGTTTACAAAGAAACTAGGACGGGTCAAAGGCTGCCATTAGCCCTCCAACAGCCGTGGTATTCCCAAGCTTTCTAAGTTTGCAGTCCTAAACATATTACTAGGAAGCAGGTGGGGCTTGCTTCCAGGCAAACATGTTCAGGAACAGTTTGTCACAAATTATTTCTTTCGAAACTAACACCAAATTACTAAATGGCCAGACTAAACTTCATTTCTTAAAATAACAGACAAGTTGACCCGTCTTTGAATGCTGATAAATCCAATCTTGAACAAAGAAATCCCAACAGACTTTGTACATACTTAAGAACAGAACAAATATGTTTCATGCATTCAAGGCTTTCCTTTTTCCATGCTGACTGGAACAAGGTTCATAACAATTTAACCCAAACCTCTTTGCCGATTAGGAATTTCAAAGACAAGGAAAATAGTGGAAAATATTGGCACAAAAAAACTTTGGAACTCTTGCTACAGGTACGCAAAATGGTAACAATTAGAGCATTGCTATCTTTTAAACCAGCAAATTATTATTACAGTATTATTATTTACTTTTAACACAAAAACACTGTAGAACTTTCACTACTGCCCAGCTAAATGCTCTGCCAACAGAAGCCCAGGAAGAGAAGTTTTAAAAGACCCTATACTGCCAAGGCAAATGTCCTTGTAATTTGGGAGGATTGAAACAACAATCTGTGTTCTTTTGCACTGCCCTTTCAATCTCGATATTCAGAAACTCTGACTGAACTATGAATCTAGAATTGGAGACCTGAGAGATTCAGAACTTGGCTGGTTCACACAAAAGGTCAATCTAAGCCATCGTCCTTTTCCAAAGTACTGAAATCAATAACTATTTTGGACATCTCATTATTAGAACTTGACAGCTAGCCTATGTGTTTGAGAATTTAGCGGTCCCATAAAAGGATTACCCCTCATTGTCTTCAGATTATGTACAAGGCCCACACTTTCCCCCCCTCTTTTTTCTCCCCTCCAAAATCACCTTAAACAGACTTGCTCATTTATTTGAGCAATCAGGAGACTTAATCTGAGGTTATTAATTTAATTTTACATTTCTTGTATTTATCTCCTGTTGTTCCGAATTATTTTTTAATATTGATTTGAAGGAAATATTTGGAATCAACAGTGTTATGCTGATGATTTACCACTGATGAAATCTTATAACTTAATTTTTTGTTAAATTAATATGAATTGAGTACAATTTTAAACCGTACTGTATTGATATTATTGTTCTATGCCTTTTTTTTGGTTAGCCACTTAATGGCATTTTACATTTTAAAATGAAGGTAAACAATATTTTCTTACTATATATTTTCTCTGCCATATTGCCAAACCCACAAGTGCAATGGGAAGTTTGAAAACTGACTTCTTATGTTAGCCTTCTGGAATTTAACCATGATATTGGCCAAAATCCGAGTAATTATGTTTGCATAGGGTGATGATGTCACTGGCTGGGAAAATTGCTTAAAGAATTCATGCTTCAATCCTGTGGGTAGCTCCATAGGGCTGACTGTGGGTAAGTTGAGCAAATCGTGGAATTGGAGCAGGAACATTTAAACTACCAACAATTTCGTCTATTGATGTAATCACGTTTATGGCAGTCTAATTTGCTCAACAGGATTTTGGTCATTGCTTTCTAACATTTTCCTAATTCCAACTGTGATACTGTTTTTGTACTTATTAGCTGTTAAGATTTTACTGATGTGGCTGGAGGCTATTTTTCAAATTACCTTGTACAATTTTGACTGCCTATGTCAGTGGTCTCAAACTCAATTTCATCTTGGGCCACATCGGCATTATGGTTGCCCTCAAAGGGCTGGTTGTATCTATAAGACTATATAAATGTATCTACTCTTTATCATATTAAATATAATCTTCATTTGATTATTACTGATTTTAGTAATAACACAAGTAATAACTAGCTCTGAAAGTAAATGTCTATGATCAATGTCTAGAAATAATGGCTATGGTTGACCGAGTAAGCGCCTGCATATTGTATACTGCACAGTAGCAGGCAACACTGCAATGGCCACATGAAACAGCCTGGTGGATCGGATTCAGCCTGCGGGTCTTGAGTTTGACATGTGGCCTATGTGCTATGGATTAATCATAAAAATCTAAAGCACAGCTTAGTACACATCTCTTCACTGTTCAGAACTACACTATCCTGTTCATTATGAACAGGTCATTTTCTTCTATCCATACTATTACAGGCAGCAGCCGCTGAACACTCTTTGAGGCATTCTAACAATCACACAAATGTTTCAATTTGTTTAAGAAATCTATTGTAATATCTTCTTCAGCTTTTCCTATTAAAAGCTTTTTAAAACCAGATTTATGATGATATAAGTAAAGCAATGAAACGTATCAGTTTGCTTCATAGACCAAGAAGCAGGAGCGAAAGAGGTACAGCTAACTATAAATCTCAACTTCCCCCTCCCTAAATCTGTAATCTTATCACACCTTGCAATATTTAAGTTCAACCATGGTCTTATGAGATATATCAGCTAGCAAACCAAAGGTACAGATATCATTACTCCCTTAGGCACCAGTGCTCTGAAATTCTGGGGCAGTGATTACAGATTAAATGAAATGTGGTAAATTATTTCTACACCATGATGCGTATGTTTGTACTGTATCTGAAATACAAAACCATGATTAACGCAAGATAGTCTGGCATGATATCTGAACTCAGAAGTACATTCCACTGGAACTGTTACTGTCATTGTAAGATCACTAACTATTCTTATTTGACATAGTATGCAGTTTTACTACTACAGTACTTAATAATATCCTCCTACTACTTAATAATATGAAAGTATGTAATTATGAACCTTACAAAGGAAGTCCAAATTCTTTCTCAAGTAGGACACTGTTCCTTGCTTATGTCAGTTTATTCTTCATCTTTTACTGTGACATCACTGTTTCTATAGGACCTAGTATACAAATTTATACTGTAATAGGAAATAGACTTCAGATGCAAATGTGAAATATGCTAGCAAGTGAATTTTGATTTATAGCAACACTAGTAGGGTTTCTAAAATATGTGAAAACTTTCAGGAACGGTTTTACTAGTGCCAATCACCCTGCAAGTTTCTATGGCCAGCAGGGATTTGCTCAGGTGTCCTGAGTTCTTGTATGACACTCTGTTCATGACATTACACTGGTTCTCTCAGAAGTATATACAAAGAGGTAAATCAAATATATATGCTACTATTAATTATTCTACTTTGGACCGCGACAGAAATTGGTATCTTCAGAATTTAAATAGTACAAGGAAGGCTCTGGCATGGAAAATGGCTGAAGACTTAACTAAATGGACAAACTGTTATAGTGCCTTTACTAATAAGAGCGAGTTTGTTCTGGGCTCCTTGTACACTCACATATTTATCTAGAGGTACTGTGGTGGTGGTGGTATGGTGTGCCATCAAGTCACTTCCAACTTATTTACAGTATTTATCATTTGAATTTAATTTCCCACTAAGGCACTCTTGCTAAGAAAGCACCCATGTTGTTCTGGCCTGAGGTAGTTTTCCATATGGCATCACCACTGGCCTATGAAGAAATGGGAAGGGATTCTTGGATATAACTGTGCAGATTAGCTAAGATATCCACAATTATACACCAAATAGGTTATTCCCCAGCCTACCTCTATTATTAAAATATGATATGACACTGACATCCAGACCTCTATAACATCTGTAATTAGTTGCCACTCTAATAGGATATACAAAGGCTTTTCCTTGCCTTTTGGAAAGGTGCCCTGTATTTGTCCCTCATTAGGTCACATGAGCTGAGACAACAGTTAACTAAATACAGATTAAACTCATTGCAGTTGAAAGAGATTCAGGGATGTTACATGGACCAATGTGGTACAAGCAGATGCTCTATGATAGAGGAAATGATACATTTTCTAACAGAGCCTCACTCTTAACTGAAAGCAGAACATGAGTGGCAGGAAAAAGTTAACAGTGACAGTGGGCTACCCCTTACATCTTACCAAATACATCTGTTCCTTGACCTGCATAAGTGTGAGCAAAACCATCCGCCTCAATTCACACGCCTAAACAACTAAACAACAAAAAAAGTTCTCTGCGGAGCTCAAATAAACATTGCTTTAATCAGATTTGCGTTTACAGTTTAGAAATAATTTTCACATGCATTTTCCAGTCTGGTGATCCCACCCCCTATCCCACGACAAGATGAAACGTTCACATCCCTCTTCGTAGCTGTCCCAGGCACTGCTCGCTACGTGCTCTTAAGCGGGGACCAACTTACAACGAGCCTCCCAAGATAAATCATTCAGGGGACAACGTTACTAGTTTCACTCCAATTCGTACGTTTCTATGGCCGAACCGGAATCCGAACCCAAGTTTCCCGAGTCCTCGTCCAGCCCTCTACCCCTGACACCACACTGCCGGCTCCCCGCCCCCC